AGGGCATTACATAAAGCTTTCTTACCGCCAGTGCAAGTTGGAGCTCTCAAAACTCAAAGAACCTATCTCAGAAACCAACACTCCAAAATCTGCTCCTTCTGAATTGCCTGATGCCTTAAACATGTTTCTGGATACTCCAGAAAAATGAATGTTGTACTTGATGAAAAGCTGTTAGATATCCAATAAAAATATAAACTTTCTTTTGTCAACATAGAAAAGAGAAATGAAAAGACTCGACTTTGAATGTATATCTCACCTCATTGATGGCTTTCTGAGCTTTTAGTGTTTCATGATGAGAGCTTGAGCAATAAAGGTTCAGTAACACACAGTCAACACCAACATTGTGCTATAAGGAACCACAAGCTAAACAGATGCAAGCATAAGAATTTACCTTGACAGAATTCCAAGCAGGAAGGAAGAAAGTGCCTTCAAATCCTTGTGTCATGAAGAGCAAAAACAGAGTCAGGTACTCACTTCCTAAAGAATAATGCATGTAGTATGAAGATCAATACCGTTGTTAAACATTTAAGAACAGTTTGTGTTGCAAGGACTGCACAGGAACCTAAGACTGCACATTCTGGTGAGCTAGAATTTTTCAAGTTCTGACTCAGACTGAGCACACATTTTGAGATTGTAGAGGGCCATCTCTTCATCATCTTCAAGAGAGATTTTCCAGCAAGTCTGAGGAAATGGGGAGTAGATAGATGAGATACAAAAAATCTTCCAGAAGATGCAAACGTGGTTATGGGACCTAATCATTAGCAATCAACATAAAAATTGTCTTCCCAATGGAAATTAAGAATGACAGGACAATGACCATGAGAGATATGCACACAGTTAGTACTCCTCATTGTATTGCTTAAATCACTCAAAAGATTATATCATTATTCTACTTCCATGACTTCTCTACAACAGGATAAATTAGCATGGATTTATATTAGCTTAAGCACCTATACAATATATGAGTACTAAGTGAATGAGCAAAAGGTTTAAGGGCAGGAAGTATGTCCACTATAGAGCGACTGTGAAGCTCCTGTTGCGGTATTCTATTTGTTGATGTAGAAATATTTTGTAGGTCAAATTCAATGAATTTATAAACTTTGACCTCATTTAAGGCAAAGAGGACACATGTTCAGACAATGTGAGTGAAAGATTAGAACTCACCCACGGACTGTTTCATAACTATGCAAGGATAGATTAAGAAGATCATCCGTCAAATGAATGATATGATCTGAAGGAGATACATTTGCACTCAACCGGAAGACATGATATGATGATTGTGAGGCTCTCCAAGTACTATGCATGTATGCTTTGTCAATAAGTGCCCACCTAGGCCTGCAAAATTGGTGTTATCTTCAATACGGAAACGCCATATTCAATATGGCCGTCAGTCCTACATACAAAAGCATAGCTAAATTTACCTTTTTTTCCCTTTCGAATGAGATGACACAATAAAATTAACTGGAGGTTCTATTATGGCAGAGGATTCTAGTTTCCAGGACTGCCTGTGATTTGACCACTCATCGTATTCTGAACTCCCTGTTGACCATCTCAATAACTTAGGATACAAGTTATGGGAAGACCCATGACAAGAAAAAGAAGATTGTACAAAGAAAATTCAACTACCGTAGTTCCCCAAGGAGTCAATTATACGAATCAGAAGCAGCAATAGAATGCTATCATCTGATTTTTCCTCCAGGAAGTATCTGTCACGACAGTAGTGGTCAAATTCACCACATGAAACCCAGGGAGAGAAGCAAGAAAAATTTATAAGAGATAAGATGAATACTGGCAGGTTGCATGAATAATGTCAGCAGCCTTTGCTCGCAGTTCCATAGTGCCAACACATGAACCAGTCGCTCCAGCAATTACGAAAGGAATGTCAGGTTGCTCTTCAGCCATCCCGCTCCTATAGGATGGTCTGAAATCAGGTAGACACGATAAAACACCTTGAAGTGACGAATCGATACGTAGAAGGGTCACTTTCAAGTGTTCTTTCTCTATGCCTGCAATCACAAAGTAAAAGAACAGTAAAACAATGACTTACAGAGAAGGATACATAAACAGCACATATTTTCAAATGGAAAAAAGAAAAGGTTGACAACTCTTCTTCTTTTTTTTGAGAAGATAACAATTGTGTATATTGACAAGTCAGTACATGAATTGCACTGAAACCATATTTACAGCATAATAAAAAAAAACAGAGAGTTGGCTCAATTACTAACAAGATCCTAGGATGTATATAATTGAGTCAGTATCCTCTAAATATATTTGTTTACACCAGAAACAAAAAAGTCTAATGCAATTTAGTAAGACAACTCTTAACTATACTTTTTTCTTCTTTTTTTATGCATGCATTATATCTTTTTCTAAACAAATAATACATGTTTTGGGTTTGAATAGAGCAAAATGGATATAGAGAATAAATCTAATTGACCATAACTTCATATTGGAACCAATACCTAACAAGTTTAGATCTTCCGGCAATAAATTTAAGGACTCATTCCAAGCTTAATGATCTATGCAAGTATCATTCAGCAAAATGCTATGCCTTCATTCAGTAGAGGAATAGAAAATCTCCATAAAGTCTATCATAACAAGTGTTATGATTCATCCAATTGGCAGATTACCCTTTCAAGAATCAGAATTGTAATAAAAAATAATAGTTACCTGGATCAGGATGGATTTTGGATTTGCATATTTTCAAAAGGTCATCTAAAGCAGAATCAAGATGCAGCTTCAAGAGTTCATTTGCAAAATGAATTTCTTCAGAGCAAGGGACATGCCACTTAGGGGGTAACCAGGGTTTATCTTCGGTAAAATCTTTTGTGCTGATCCATTCCTCCAGTGCAGGGGCAGCAGCATGGTGCAAAACACACCTTGTATTTGGAAGTGGAGCAATCAATAGATACATACATGAAAAGTCATCTAGTAGAAAACACTTGTCCCGTATATTTTGACCAAAAAATTAAATAGAAAAGAAACTGAATGGTGAATGTATAAAATTCTTAACCAGACAAAATCTTCACGTACTTGTACTGATTGATGGGATAGTAAAGAACAAGATTTCCAAGGAGAGATCGAAGGAGATGATCACCAGCACCATTAACCTGTCATGTACAACTAAGCTTATCAGATAAAGTTGAAGGACCAAGAATACTTTGGTTCAAATCTTCAAATGAACAATGGTCTGCCAAGACTAACTGGACGATAAATAAACATATATGCTGTTAACTGTAATTCTCAGTTTACTACTACCCAAGACAAAATTTAAGAAGCGTCGACTTCTAAGACAGGTGAATAACCGACACTGCTGCAAATAAAATGAAATGATTAAGGGCATATTACCTTTTTGGGATAATTATTCTCGAAAATACTGACTTGTAGCTTAATCAAGAACAAAAATTGGCTCATAAAGTGAGGATTGTCAACAACCTTATATACTTGACTAGTATTGGACGCTAAGACCTGAACGCAAGCACTACATGCCATGGTTGGACTTCTGGAGCACGGAAGCAACATAATATAAGGTTCCAACAGTGGAAAATCAAGAATAAAGATGGATCTAGTTTTGATATCGTGTTACAAAAGCGGACCTTACGCCTAACTCAACCCAAAAGGTGAGGATTGTCCAACACTGTATAATGAGACAGCAACCTAAATATTTGATTAATGTGGGTACAATCAAGGGTTTATAACAATGAAAAGGCAATCATCAGAAAAGGATGTATAGTTTTTAAAAAAAAACCTTCCAAGATGGTGAATCGAAAGCATAAAAAATAGCTTCCTTGAATTCGTCTTTGAAATGAAGAAGTGATGGACCTCCATAACTAATTGCAATAGATAAAACTTTCAGATGATATTCAATTGCAGTTTCAAGAGCGGGAGAGACCATTGGCTTTTCCTGGAGAAATGAAAAATGAGAAATCAATGCAGACAGTAAGTGGAATCCTGAAGCATATTACAATAACATTAGTTAAAGAAGAGAACCTTGCTTGCTTCAAAAGTTTTAAAAGCTCCTCTTCCACCAAATCCTGTAACAGGTGTTCCTTTTAAGGATGATAGAGCAGACTCCAACAGGGGTTTGATAAGGTGAGAAATTGCCTCATCGGGGTTAGAGTGAACACATGCACAGCAAAGCAGTCCAACCTCTGCAATAGCCCCAGGAAGAATATTTGTTGTGACAAACTTGGAAATTTTTTTAAGAGCCTGCTCAGTAAAATAGAAGTTTACATCAATAAAAATCGTAAAATCTCAGAACAAACATAATCATTTCGAAATCCAGAAAAAGATACCTTCTTGAATAGTGATTCCGAAAGCCTCCCAAGCAGGATTTCCAGCATGCAAAAATAAAATGGACCATCTTCTACCAGGAAAGTTCCTGAAGTTGCTTGCGAATGAAGACCTTCATTCCTGAAGCACCAGTTATTACAAAGCCTTGAGCATTCAATTGACTTCATTTACTTGTGCTCAAGTTTTGTCCCATTAAAAATGGAAAATATGATGCAAAATGGAGAAGAATCTAACAAGTGATACTTACACAACACTGTTAGCTTCCAAATTCTGAAGTAACGAAAATAAGCGGAACAAGAACTCGTCAAGCCATTCTGAAAAGTGAAATCCCGGCATGATTGAGGACTGGTCCATAGTCTCTTCCAGTATAGCCATCTGCAAGGTAAGACAAATAAGTATAATCCTTTTGTGGATCAAGCCATAACTGGGAAGAACTTATAATATTGGTACGTACATTGGAGAACAAGGAGCCAATTAGTTGCATTGTTGCTAAGGTTTTAGGTGGGTCATTGGCATCCATCCCAAGTAATGCATTAGACAAGGAAATCATCATCAGGTCAACAAGTGAATTAGAAGGATCAACAACGTCCACAACCATGGATGAAGCTGACAAGGTAGTCAGGAGAAGAGATCGACCAGCATATGCTACAGACGTCACAGCACTTTTCAACTGGTGAGTGGCTGTCATCTATTCAGAAAATTGTAGCAAGGGAGTAAAATCATCAGCCTAACTCAAACAATATTAACTCTTCAGCCAAGTAGGAGCATTTGTAATGGTTCAAAAGGAGTGTGAATCCAAATTGCCAAGATTCATTCTTAAACAAACTAACCGTCTCTAAGGCCATACGAAAGCGAGATGCTAGAAAGGGAAGAACCAGAGATGGTTCAACATATGAAAGGATAGAAGTGGCAGCTGCAACTGTTTCAGAAAGATGTTCATTTTTGCTATACTGTCCACGATCAATTAACTTGAGAATAGAATTCACAAAAGCAACCCTCTCTGACTGCCCTAGGAAGATTTCAGACTGCTCGCCATCATCTTTTCTCCTGAGCCCATAGTCTCACGGTCAGACAAAGGCTACATATTCTCATATAGAATCTAGAATTACTATGATAGATTAAAAATTCTTACTGTTGCTCATTTTGCAAGCGTTTCTGAAATATATTTACCAAGTGGAACAAGAATCGCTCCAAGGAATAAGTCCAGCGACCACCATTAGAAGGATGGTAATACCTAAAACAACAAAGAGAGATGATTTACAAAATTTTACCAAGCAAAATTTTTTAAAGTAAGGTGATATAAAATCTGTCTAGAAAACGAACTGTTCCAAGAGGTTGACCAATTTCTCCAAATGTTCTTGTGCAGAACCACCAGGTTTTAATAGATAAACCTGCATTTACATTGACAAAAACAGAGGTCATTTTGGCCACATGCAGATGTATTTGTATGATCACAATCACTTATACAAGTGCGCTTACTATAGATTTAGCAATGGCTTTTGATGGAGTGATTGTTCTATTTGAGAATAAGAATCTTGTGTTTCTGGGAACATCCACAGAGAAAGGATTTGACCCACTGCCATTTGCTACTGGAACCTGTGAACAAAGATGAATGAAATATTACATGAGAAACACCAGTGCGACGAGTTCCATTCTCTCTAAAATAAGACAAACTTGTTTGCTCATGTTCATTTGCTAAGAAAATTTCTTCAAGCAACAAAGATAGAGTCTATGCAACATAAGTACATAACCTACCTCGAACATATTCAAATATTTATTGAAAATATCTGGTAAGAAATGTTCCCAGTCAATGAAGCTATAGTTCTTTATGACACGAGCTGTAACAGATGCCCACTGGCTGTTCCAAAACTGGGAATTTGGTACGGAATCCCAGTGGACTAAACACGTAACAATCCATGTGCTGTCATAACACCAAAAAGAAAATTAGTATATTCATGTAGTGAGATGAAAGTGAAAATATCTTCAGAAGAAGTTGATCATCCTTACTGAGAAAAGAAACCCTGGTTGTCTCTATTGGTAGGAAGGAACAGTCTTACAAAACCAGCACCCTCAAAGGATGAATTGTGCCATGGATTTTCAAGCAAAGATCTGCAAAATGCTTTCCATTAATGAATGAGGACCTAAACAAGCCAAATTTAACCCTAAAAATTAGCTCATGAGAGGAGAGCTATCCATATAAGGAAAACACAACCCAGTCTTAAACTCCGCACACGTGCAGGACTGGAACTAGACCGTGGATAACATAATGTGGGGCCCAACATTGAGAAACACATCAATAGTGGTTGATGGATCTTGGCCTAGGAAAGAAGTACAACAAACACCCTAAATTACTGTCAATTTTAGCACTCCCAGAGCCTAACCCAGGAAGTAAAATCTTACCTGAACTCGGACCATATCTCAAATGCAGAGCCTGGAGGGAAAAACCTCCGGCAGGATCGTACAAGAGAAGTAACGGTCTCAAAATGTCGCTGTCTTATTCTCCACCCTTCTGGGCCTGTATTCCTTTAGCAAATAAAGTAGTTCAACAAATCAGCATATAAGTGTATTAAGAAGAACAGTTGCTGGGTTAACGATACAAAAGGTACATATTAAGTATCTGACGATGAGATTTAGATTCGTAATAAACTGATTAAAGTACAGATCCCACTAGTTACGGTAGAAAAGTAGTAACAAAAAAGAAACATGTATCACCTCTAACCTCCAAAAACACAGAAATATGTAGTATGTGAGCAGTCAGATTTATATGATATTATGCATATAAACATCAGATTTCAGAATGGGTTGAAAATGCCACTTTTTGCAAACTTCATACACTTCTAATATTGCTGCTGGTTATCGTATTTTTACTTCCCATCCAGATTAACTAATAACATCTAACATTCATTAAATTGTGACACATTGACAAAGACCATCAAAAAAGATCATTCCTTATTTGAATTACTCTCCCATCAATAAATCTATGGAAACATGAGGCACCCAGTATGAGTTAAGAAAGATGAGAATAAGAGATGAATCTTCAAACTCCATTTGGAATTGACAGGGAGAGACATGGATATTTTTGAACCCTCAACTATTTGCAAATTTTTACAAACATTGAATACAAGATTGAGGAATAATTGAAGGCTCTTATCACTTTTACATCACACCCATTAAACAGCAAATGAGTGTGAACCCTGATGAGGTTTTCAAAGCCATGAAAGGAGACCATACTCCTAAGCTATTGACCAGCAACTATTAGGTTTCACAAACTTCATGAGGGTATATCGCATATTAGCTGCAAAGGCATTCAGATGTAGGTTCAGGAAAGAAGTTGTTATCTGATGTAAAATCCAGGTGTCTTAGGTGTGACCACAAATGAATCAATTTTTGAGAATGGTAACAAGACCACCAAACGAACTAATTACGATGTCCCTACAGAAAAGGCAATAAAAAGCAAGCTAATTAAGGAACAAAAGGTTACAAATAAAAGAAAAGCAGGGACTTGCCTCGTGAAATGTGTGTGAATCAGAGTATCATATAAAGGGCGCCACTGAACTTCCAAGGACAACTTTTTCCGGTATTTATTCAGTAGCTTTACCAAGATATTTCCCCATCTAACCTGATGAGAGCAAATGACCTTAACTCTGTCGATAGACAGCCATCAAAAAGGATATGCATGAATATGTAGCTTTCTGAAGAAATTACCTGAGCAAAAAGTTTATTTTCTGATATACGGAACAATTCCAATCCAACTTCAACTACTTCTGTAACATCCTCCAGAGATAGTTCGCTTTTTGCTTTTATGAAGCTGCAGGTAAGTCCATCAGTAAATAGGTTTATATAATTCAACAAGTCTGTGTTCTGTTTGTGTTAAGTTTGCACAGGTTTCAAGTTATAAGTTTTTCTTTAGACAGAAATAACAAGTTTTTTCTAAATCAAGATATTTTTTTCTTAAGTCGTGCCAAGTCTATAAATCTTGTTATCGTATCAGGATTAGCATGTTTTTCAATTCTGTAGACAAACAAGACAGTACAATTAATCATGTTACTTGAATTGAAGAAATTCAAAGACCCTAGACTAAAAAAATGAAAGAGAGAGCAAACTAGGGAGTAAAACCATGTAGCACCCGGAGATGGTACCTCAGGCATTCTAGGTTGTACGTAGCCATTGATAGTTAAAATATAAAATGAGATTAGTTATGTATTTTCTACTATTACACTTGGTCCACAATTATCTACTTAGTCCATTTGAGTCCTGGTGAGCTGTCCAAAGTGTTATCAGTTTGTAAAAGGTTCACAAGTTCAGTGAGGTCTTATACATGATTGTAATAGAAATTGGGTTTATGTAATGAAATTTGTTCCTTCACTTTATTTCTCTTCTTCGCTGTTTATTATTCTGTCAATTCCACTTCTGGCGAATTACACTGATCCTAGTTAGTGTAACAGTTGGTATCAGACCCATCGATTCCTTCCGGACTCTCTGCTAGACTTAAAAGTTTGGATGAAGGACGGAAGAAGGTGGAGGCACAACTCTCCCAGGTTCAGAGGTCGGAGAGATTGGAGAAGCCTTAGTATGAGAATCCTGAATTTCAAGTGACTGCACAAGAGATCACAGAAATTCATTGGATGATGAAGCATTTGATGAGCCAAGCAGACCTCATTCATAGAACTGAGGAAATGAATGCCTCAATGTCATACACAGCTGTAATGTTGCAAGGCAACACCTCCTTTAGTTCCTCTAATAGTAAGGAAAATTCATCTACTGTTGGTCCTATGTCTGTCTACTTCTACTGTTCTACGGCACACAAGTTCCCTCAACTAGTAAAAGAGTGGTACTTCCAACTGTTCCTGCATCCATTTAACCCCAAGGGGAAGGTCAACAAACACCTACTATACCTTTTCCACAACCTAATTTCTCAACTGTACACTTTCCTTCGCAACCTCAGTTCCAATACCATTGCCTATACCCAATATTCCTTTTGATACTTTAATTAACTTTTCAATGGCCATAGTGCTAAACTCGATTTCCCTGAATTCAATAAATGCAATCCTAGAGATAGTGGTAAGGTCTGCGTCCCTAGTGAGATTTGTTGTACTTGAGCCGAGAGTCTATCTCCTGAAGGAGCTAAATGAGAAGACTACAATTTGTGAAGTTTTAATTTCCAACTTCTCGGGAGTAGAGTCTAATGTTTTGAAGGGAACTGGGATGTAACATCCAGAGATGGTACCTTCAAGCATTTAGGTTTGTATGTATCCATTAACCATTAAAATATGAAATGAGAGTAGTTAAATATTTTCTATTAGTATCCAAAACTAGCTCCTTAGTCCATTTGAGTCCTGGTAAGCTGTCCAAATTGTTATTAGCATGTTAGGAGGAGCTTATACACGTGATTGTAATTACGGGGTCTACGCGATAAAACATTTCCCTGTCCTGTTTATTACTCTTTCATTTCCATCCCGGACAGTGTAACAAACCAATCAGTTCACTTAAACTCAATAAATTCAAATACATCAGACCACGAAACCAAACAAGCAGTACAATTCACACAACACCACACTAAAAAGGGTGAAAAAACTGCAAACCCACATGCCAAAATCAAAAACTGGACTAGCAAGTGACTGATCAAAGTCAACGAGCAAAGCAATTCAGCATACACACAAGGAATTACGTAAAACTAGGAGTGAAAACTGAAGCTTACAGGTCAATAACGGAAACCCATTTGAGGGTAGCATAAACTGAATCGGGATCATCCGACTTGTACGATTCTTTAACTGATTTCAGTACTTTAGCAAAGGATTGTTTCTCCTTTTTCGTCTCTTCTGCCACCGGCGGCGGCAACCAAGCGTTATACAAGTGCATTTCTACTGATGTTTACAGTATCTGATAACTGAATTGAATTCTGTTAACAATGGAGAAATGTAAAATGTGAAAAACCCCTCTTCTTCAGCTGGGATATTTATAGCGAGGGTCTTCCTTTCTTTCTTCCCAAGACAAATTTTGACCAAAACCCAAAGTACCAAATTTGGAGTTTGGCTCAAGTCATTTAATTTGAGCTAATATTAGCTGAGACGGAGTTATAATTTTGAGTTTAATGATATAGAATTTGTAATTGAAATATTAGTGCAATTCTTACCATTATTTTTTTCCAATTATATCTAGTATCTTTTTTGTATGATTATAATATTCGAATCAAATTATATGTATTTCGACTAATATTATAAAGATTTTGTTTACTAAGGCTTTTATGGATGGAAAACATCACCTATTGTGTTTGTTTTTAGGGTAATTTTTTCCAAAATCTCATTATTTAAAAAAATTCGCTTTATTAATCAATAAATCTGCACCTTATTCTTATAAACTAATTTCTCAATCATTTATTTGCTACTCAGTAAGAAAAGTACCCTTAATCCTTGGTGTCATGACATGATATTTAAGATGTTAGTTGAGGCGGGCCATGGATTTGGAGACAGCGGGGTCTTACTATTAGCTAGCTTATTTTGGGTGTTTTTAAGATAAAATATATATTTTAAGTATTTTTGTAATATTTAAACGATATACAAAAGTTATTTTTAAGCATTTATTATAAGTCAAAATAATAAAAATAAATCAAATGTTATAAGTTAAGATTTTGAACTTATGTCTCTTGAATTATAAGTCATAAGATAAGATGTAGGTTTATCCAAACATACTTTAAGAACAGATGTACATTAGTTAAAGCATGTCACACAATATTATTCATCTAATAAATTTATTAAACACACATAATATACTAACATATAACTATAAATTAAATGACATTAATTAGTAATGCTTACTATGTTCGGGTGATGGCTGTATACACCACTTTTCGCCCACTCAAATCCTTCAAATCAAGGAGGAGAGTTAAGGGGTGATTTCGACCATTGCACCTAACTTGTTTTTGCGTCTTAGCATGCATAATAAAATATATGTTTATATCTAAAGTTAACGAATGCATGTGATTCATTTATCACCACGTGGATCCGTCTCTAGTTGAGTAACTAAACCATAAAATACACTTGGCACATATGTGATGAGTTGGATCCGAGTCGGATGAAAGCCACAAGAAATTATGATACTTGCCACGTGTAAATGTATGGAGTATTTTTATTGATTTCCAAATATAGACATTTGCCACTTTTTTGAACTTTTATCCTAAGTCTTAAATTCGATGCGCATTAACATAAACATCAGAATATCACCAAAAAGATTTCCCATTAGCCTTTTTTGCTTTACAATTCTCCTCCAAGTTGCAATATCTGTGTACTCAAAAACTGTGAATTACGTTTTGATCATAAATTTTTTTTATTTGAAATAGAATAATTTTTATTATTTGAACATCAATCTTCGTCATAAAAACTTTTAAATTTAATTTGAAAACGTATTATAAATTTGGAAAATAGTTTCTATTTTCAACTCTCTCTTACTTTTGAAGGCATTAACGATATTTTATGATGAATGATTATGTCCATAGGTGGCCAGTGGATGTTAATAATGAAGATGATACGTCTAAATTTATTCTTAAATTCAAACTTACTTTTGAACTATGTATTTAGGTAGGCATTAGTCAATAATTGACTATTAGCCGACAAAGACAAATCTAACCTTATTTTTCTTTGAAATAACAAGAGATAAATGGTTAAATCACGAAAAAAAGTCCAAAATAGTCCTTTATTTTTGGATTAAGACACAAAGTTATTCTTTAGTTTTCATATGAAGCACTAATAGTCCTTCATATTTGTAATACTGATGTATTTTTTGTCCTCCCTCAAACCTTTGCCCAAAATAGTCCTTTATTTTTGGATTAAGACTCAAAGTTATTCTTTAGTTTTTAAATGAAACAGTTATAGTCCCTCATATTTGCAATACTGGTGCATTTTGGTCCTCCCTCAAACTTTTTTCTATATTGATTTTGTCCACTATTTTATGTATGAAATGTTCAATCATCTTTTTATATATTTAATAGAAATAATAACTTCACGTGAGAGAATGTGAGAAGAGGAGCAACTTATTATGTTCGGTAGAAATATTATTGCAGCTAAACTAAGAATACATTTACATATGCCGCAAGAAAAGAAAAATGTGTACTATTACACGTGAAAAGGACACAATGAACCTTTCGATTTTAGCTGCAATAATATTTCTATTAAAACAAAACAAGGTGTTCTTCTTCTCACCTCTCACATAGAGTTATTACTTCTACTAAATATAAAAAAAAGACGATGGAACATTCCATACACAAATTGTGGATAAAATCAATATTGAAAAATAGGCAAAAGTTTGAAAGAGGACCAAAAGTGCAACAATATTATAAACATGAGGGACTATTACTATTACATATGAAAACTCAAAGATAACTTTAAGTCTTAACCCAAAAATAAAGGACAATTTTGAATTTTTTTCTCATTAAATCATACACAAGAAAGTATCACGTTTTAATGAGTTTTCTATCTGAACTATTGAGTTTCATTTTTTTCTATATGAACTATTTTATCAAAACATACGTACATTAGGGAATTAATATAATAATTCATCAGTCCACTTTGACTTGTACGCTATATTGTAAATTATTGTATTCTCGTTTATCTTTTTCCATGATCCGACCGTTGGGGTTGCCACCAATGGAGAACAGAAAAAGTGACCGTTGCAAAACTCAGTTTAAATATCTGGTTATCCCCTCTATTTCGGATATCAAAAGCTATCACAATCTACTCTTAAGCTAACTGCAATTTCGTCTAAAGCTCACTAATCTCTTTTTAAGCTTTCTTAATTCATCTTATTGCTAGTATTTCTGTTTAGCTGTTCTTTCATTTCAGTTTTTCATTAATGGCAGAATCAAAGGATTGTCATGTTATCGTTGAAATTCCGGTTGATGAAGAGCATCAGCTTAAACTTTCTTCAGCCATTACTACCATAACTGCAATTCAAAACCATCCATTAATGGAAATCTCAAAAAGTCCAGGGCATCTCTTGCTTCTCAAGCTTTGGCAAAGAGAAGAGGATCTCTCTGGCCGTAGAATTGCGGCCAAAGAGACACGAATGGACAGTATTAGGAGAGAAATATTTCAGATCTGTTGTTTTTTCTTTATATTTCATGCTCTGTTTTTTACGATTCTGTTCACCTCTGTTTCTGAGGACCACCTTGATGGTAATGTTATGTGTCAAAAATGGTGGATTCCTTCGCTTCTATCAGTTTGTACTTCGTTTTGTATTGTGTTTTTGGTGCAGGTGAAACTTTACAGGTTTTGGAAGGTATCGAGGCAGTTGCAGAGGGAGAGGGGGGATGGTAGAGCACTGACAAGGTGCATTTCGGAGCTGAGGATGAAAGGGGCAAGTTTTGATCTGTCGAAAGAGCCACAGATTGGGAAGAAGATGAAGAGCTCTAGTGTGGAGATCAAATGGAAGCCATTAACTTGGTTATCTCAGAATGTTGTAACTATTTGTCTTGTTTGTTTTACAGGATTGATCTTCCCTGCTTCCAGGCTTGTCCTTTGCGCTTGATCTTCTTCGTCTTCAATCTCTGTTCATACACAAATCAGCAAATTTGGAATCTGGAAAGAGTTGTTCTTTGCTTCAAAGAGCTTGCAGACATCCAAGTCGAGGCATTCGTACATGAATAGAAATGGTAAATGATTGATTTTGTCACCTTTTTCAGTAAGCAATTTGTGAACTCGTTTCATTCTTCACCTTTGTTTCTTTTTCAGGGAATATACAGTCTCAAACCTGATGTTACCCACATAGAGCCTACTAGCCGGAAAAAGAACCCAAAAGCAACAGGAGAAGAGTTGGCACCTTAATTTAACAACAGTAGAAGGAAGTTGCCCGCCAGCAGAGAAAAAAGGACAGTCCAGTGCACAGAACATTCAATATTCAGGCAGGGATCTGGAAAAGGAACACACCCCAAGGGAGGCGAGCACCCGTGTGGCATCACATGAAAACTTTACCGTTGCTCCAAGCGCTTTCAAGGTGCTAGCCAATGAAGCCTAAACAATTTCTTTACACCTCCATATCAATCATGCTGCAATGACATCATTATTGGAAACTTGCTCACCATTTTCTAGCGGTGTCTCGACTCAACCATCAGGCTCACTGCTCTGCCCATTGCATGAGCGAAAGAGCAGAGATCCAGAGTTTCAACAGCCAGCAATTTTGAAGTTTACAGATTTGGGCAATACAGCTATTATTAATAATGCTGAAACACTGCCCATGTTCTAACATCTCTTTCAGAATTTTTCAAAAATGACATGTAATAAATGTTACAAAATCAATGTAAACAAGTTGTTCATCTGAAAATTTTGCTTTCTTCTTCATAGATTATACAAAGATTTTTTTTCAGGCCTTTTTTTTTTAATTATAAAGTAACCTTTCAGGGCTATGCACTCTCAAAGCCAAATATGCGAAACACACCTACATAGAAAAGAAGAAGAAAAATATTAGGCCTTGTAACTCTTAAAGAGAAGGAAGAATCGAGTTCTTTCTTAGGTCAGAAAGGCACCTTCATCAGCCTGGTATTTGTTCTTATCATCCCCAGCAAAGGCAAGCAAGTTCTGTTTTGGATTCCATTCAACACTGTTCATGGCAGCACGACATGGAATCTGGTGAACTGACCGTCCAGTTTGGACATATGCCTGTCGAAAATAATTGCCAAGTTATTGAAAGGTTAAAGAGATTCTCTATGTAGAAGAGGGTACAATTTATTGAAAGGTTAAAGAGATTTTCTACGTAGAAGAAGTACACAGGTTCTCAACAACATACAATATCAATAAACAAATCTTCACTAGCAGAGGCAATGTAGTCTCCTGTGTGATTGAAACTTATTGTCCGAACTGGCCACCTGAGTAGCAAGAAAAAAAAATTAAAAATCAGACACCTGTCCCAGGAAACTCGTATAAATTATAAGATGGACGAAAACATACTTGAGAACTTACTCAAGTTTTGTAAATGTTCGAAGACATAGCATCTCCTTAATGCTCCAGAGGCTGACCAATGAATCAGCACTT